ACACAATCAACCCACCAATCAACCAATCAATCAATCAATGCATACATGCATACATGCATACATGCATACATGCATACGTGCATACATGCATGCATGCATGCATACATACATACATACATACATGTACATAGGTGTATGTATGCATGTACGTACATGCGCACATACATACTTACGTGGAAGTTTCCACCAAAAAAGGAGTCCCAAGCATGAGCCCCAATATACTGGAATCCTTATTCTGGGGACACCAAGTTTTTGGAATTCCCACCCCCATGCATGCATGCTTACGTACGGACATACATATACGTACATACATGCGTACATCGGTAAACATGTACATACGTACATACGTACGCATGTACATACATACATGCATACATGTACACGCACACACGCACACACACGTAGAATAGAAGAGCTTGCCACCTGACATGACGCGTTGGTCCCCAGGTTGTTTGGGGCTGATCTTCTCGTAGGTATTTTGCCGTATACTTTGTGCACTCCCTGCATATCTAAAACTTACACCATTGAATGTTTCCTGAGCCTTTGAACTGAGCTCATTTTACAGCGAGGCGCTCTGTGGTCTGAGGGCTTCCACTGCAGGAGTTGGGGAAACGGTTTCCCAAAAGTATGGATACCTTTTTGGGTCCCCATAATCAGGGTTACAGTATATTGGGGCCTATGTTGGGTCCCCGCATTTTTGGCAACTCCCAGTTGGGCTATCCGGAATTGTCAGAGAGCATCAGGCTGCTGCAAATACTTTGGCTATCCTCCTGTGTGATTTGCTTTGCCATGGAAAACCTGAATCCTGCGGCTTTTCAAGACACTGAGATCTGTGTTTGAGTGTGGTTGCCTTTTGAGTTTAAAGACCACCCCACAAAGAGTTGCCTCTGATTTGGCAGGCGATGTGCACGCATCGAAGGTCATCATCGAGCTCCTGGAGTGTCTTGCTAGTGTTACATTGCCTTTGTTTGTCAAAAATGCTACTCAGAGAGCTTGCCGAGGCAGTACCCTGAAAGATGCACAGCATGTTGTCAGGCGCTGCAGGAACGTGGCGCAGTACCGAGTCAGGCTTGTCCAGCGTCTTCGAGGTCACCTGCTGAAGCTGACGAAGGCCGAGAGCATCCCACTGCAGCCCCTTGGGCGCATGCGAACCTGTTGCCTAGGACAAGACGGGCTGCCTCGTGATGCAGCATATGCTGGAAGTTGCCGCAGCAGAGTTACAAGGGTGTTTGCCGCTTGAGCTTCGCGGCAAAGTGCGCCTCGGTAGTTCACGTTCCTTCTGTCAGCGATGAACGAAAGACCCCCGCCAACTGAATCCAAGAAAGTTGCTCCAACCATTGAGGCTGGCATGCAGCCAGCATTTGCATGGCAACTTCGTGCTGCAGCAACTTGGCAAGCATCTGGAGATGTAGTCTTCAGCTTGATGTCCGTGTCAGTCTGGCAGGCGATGTGTGGAGGTTTTCCCATCAGCCTCCCTCTCCTTTCTGATACTTGAGTTGAAGGCCCGGGGTTTAGGGTTTAGGGGCCTGTTGCAAAAAGGGGATGGGCAGAGAAAAAAGAATGTCTGGGAAAGCCCACTGAACCTAACTTTCTTACGAGGGCTTGCGGATGTTGATGGTTCAAACCTAAAACCCTAAACTCCACCCAAGAAGCTTGTGACTTTCCCGATGCTAAACTGGCATAATCATGCCCGACATGATCCTAATTGCGAGTTTCTCAAAGTCTGGGCTCCTGGGATACATAGGGATCATAATGGCATTGTGGGTTTCCTTTTCAGCGATCATAGGGGATCGTTTTGATTTGAGAAACTCACACGTATTAGTGATGGCCATTTGAGCTCTGGCAGGGGCATGCTGTGTCTGTCGCCACACACATCTACGCCACTTGGCACGCGCTTTGCGATGTCATGCCTTTGGCTGCACCCTACATCCTACACCCTAAGCCGCAACCAGAGATGCCAAGGCTTGTCGTATTCTGCAACGTCTAGTTGAACATTGCCCATCTCATCCGGAGATGGAGGAAGTGCGGCTGTGCTGCAGAAGGGATGGGCATTCTTGGGGGTAATATCCTGATATAAACCTGTATAACCCTTATATAGCCCTACACATCTGCCATACAACCCCATGTGTCCTGACATATCCCCATATAACCTCTCCCTCTCTCTATATATATATATATACATATATTCCAGTATAATCCCCAGACAACCCTTGTATATCCTTGTATAATCCCAAAAGAACACCTATCTATCCCTAGATAAATTGCCATATCCCTATATACCCATATATCTATCTATATATATATATATGTAGATATTCCCAATATTCCCTAAACCCTAACCATTTGGAAAGCCTGACGGCTCAGGCTTCATAGCATGCTAAACCCCACTGATCAGCTGGAGCGCCTTTGCAAAGATCCATATGGCAACAATGCCGCTTTGCAGCACTGTTTAGGGCTTAGGGTTTAAGATCTGGGGCGTTAGAATCAGAAAGGTTCAGGGTAAAACCCCACATGTAATCCCAACACAGCCCCAATATACCCCTTAGATAACCCCTAATATGATCGTAAAACAAAACACTGGCGCAGGGCAAGATCCTGTTGCTTAGTGAACGGAGTAGATGCTCGGATTTCGTTTGAGGGTTTGGGTTTAGGGGCACAGTTCGAAGGTGAAATGTTTAATGCACATCAATTCCTCTCGCACATGCCCAAACCTGCGAGCCAAGATATGAAGCATGCCCTCTATGGCCTGGCGACGAATGGAATCTGCCAGGGATGTCTAGAAGCCCACAAGGGACTGGTAGGAACCAAGCTAGATTGAAAGGACCCTGGAGTCCGGTGAAATACTATGTGAAATATATTATGTCCCCATCATAAGCCCATTATAACCCTAGGGCAACCCTTCGTAAGTAG